TGTCATCATTCTCCATTCACTCCTCAAATGACCACAATGACTGGGGCTGGGCCAGGAGTTTCTTCCAGGTCTCCCATGTGAGTGCAGGGGTCCAAGCACTTGGGCCGACTTACGCTGCTTTCCCAGGCCATTAGCAGGGAGCTGGATGGGAAGTGGAGCAGCCGGGACTACAAACAGCACCCATAGGGGATGCTGGCGCTACAGGTGGCAGCGTTTCCTTCTACACCACAGTGCCAGCCCCAGTTTGAATCACTTCTTACATAAGGTGTGAGAGTGAGGTGGAGGGGGTGTTTTCCCTGACTTTATTCTTCGTTTACCTAAGCTGGCCAGTGCTCCATCTATGGGGGCAACTGCCTTCCCTCCGCTGCCCTGCAACCCCATCCCTTCACTCCCTTTATTTATTGTGGATTCACTTGTAGCCTAATTTACGATGCCCCCAATTATTAACAGTGTAGCTCCTCGGATCTTCCTAATCTCTCTGTCTCCTGTGCTCCCGCTCTTGGCACTCGGTCCCTCCTCTCTCCCTCTCAGTCCCCTTCTTTTCTACAAGTGACTACTGAGAGCAGCATTGGACCACTCTCACCTTCGTGGCACCGGCATTCGATGGCAGAGCCAACTGTCAACTAGATAACAAATGCACGGGCCAGAGCAGGTCTGGTGGGTGAGCTGGTCTGGGGCGAGCCCTCTGACAGGTGACCCCACAACTGAGACGTGGAAGCGAGAGAGACGAGAACAGGTGCCCAGTGCAGGAACGAGGCTCCCAGCTGGAGGGGCGGGGCCTGGAAGAACAGGGCGCGGGGCTGGCGGAGGCGGCTGCCATGAGCCCCGGGTTGGGGGGGAGTGGGCGAGGGAGGAGGAGCCGGAAGGGGCTTGTGGACCATGGCGTGATCTGATTTATGGCCTGGGTTTTCCCCACGCTGGACCAGCCTCTCCACCTGTTTATCCAAGTTAATGAGCCACAGCAGACACGGGGAAAATCTGCTGGATCTCATCCAGACATCGTGGGCTGGGGCCGTGTGGCTCCCGACGTTCGTCAGTTTCTCCGGGGCTCCCAGCCCCTTCCGGCCTCCTTCCCAGTAACAAGCGCCGTGGCCCGAGCAGCGAGAGCCGGTCAGCGGAGGCGTGGGAGGGCTGCGGGCCAGGGTCGTGGTGATGGATGCAGGGGGCGCTGCTGGGAAGATGGCTTTGCCGTAGCGAGCGGCCTCTTGGGGTAGATATTTCGAGATTACGTCTCTCGTGTCATTAGAAAGCACAGCTATAAATTAGGCTGCTCGGGAGCATGGGGTGAGTAATAATTAAGTAATAAAAGTCGCCACGGGGTGGGGACAGCAGCGGGAAAACAAAGAGCCCTGCTTGTGGATGCCACAAAGGCTGCACTGAGAAGAGACCTCCGCGCGGTGCGCAAATGACGCCTCGAAGCCGCAGAGCCCAGCTCAGATGGATCCCAGCCCAAAGGGCTGCTGGGGTGGGGGAGCAGGCTGCACCAGGAGCACGGGAGGGTTGGAGGTGCAAAGGGAGGGGGCGTATTTGCAGTCCAGCTCTGCTTCTGCGCCTGGGGTCCAGCAGGCAGCAAACCTGGTGCAGAGACAATAGGGAGGGGCCAGCGCTGTGGCGTAGCAGGTAAAGCCGCTGCCTGAAAGCGCTGGCATCCCATATGGGCGCCGGTTCAAGTCCCGGCTGCTCCACTTCCGATCCAGCTCTTTGCTATGGCCTGGGAAAGCAGTAGAAGATGGCCCAAGTCCTTGGGCCCCTGCACCCACATGGGAGACCCGGAAGAAGCTCCTGGCTCCTGGCTTTGGATCAGCACAGCTCCAGCTATTGCAGCCATTTGGGGAGTGAACCAGCAGATGGAAGACCTCTCTCTCTCCCTCTCCCTCTCCCTCTGCCTCTGCCTCTCTGTGACTCAGCCTTTCAAATAAATAAATAAATCTTAAAAAAAAAAAAAAGACAATAGGGAAGGGTGACAATTAGGGCTAAAGGGACAACCGAGACTTGGCTCCAGCCAGTTACTGCCACAGTTCTAACCCACAGAGTTGGAGCTGGCAAATCATCAAGACAATCTATAAAGTCGACTTTTAAATGTACAACTTGCCAGTGTTTAAGGATCAGTGATGATTTCAAAGAATTTTCAGACTACTGTGAGTGGGTGGCACTGGTACAGCAGGTCAGGCCACCACCTGCAACACCAGCATCTCATATGAGCTCAGGTTCGAGTCCCGGCTGCTCCACTTCCCATCCAGCTCCCTGCTAATGCACCTGGGAAAGCAGCGGAAGACGGCCCAAGGTCTTGAGCCTCTCCTGGGGCATATGACAAAACCTGCAGGTCCTCTTCCCAGGCACAGCATTGTCACAGAACCACTCAGAATGACTTTGGAGCAGAGGTCATGGCCAGGGCTGGAGCCCCCAAGGGTGGGTTCTGGTGCCCCTGAAAGGCACCTTGGACAGCGCCCTGTGACCTGTGCATATGGTGAGTTGCCGTTGGTGGTCTGAGACGCTGTTTTCCGGCCGTGGGGTCTGCTCTGGACCCTGCTGGCCTGCACAGCAGTTCCCAGCGAGGAGGGCAAAGCCCAGGGACAAGTCTCGTGGCAGCCGTGGCTCACCCCAACAGGGATTCACTGCCTTCCCGTTCTGCAGGCCAGAGGCCAGGGCCACGCTGCCTCTGACAGCCCCACGTAGGTGAGGGGCCTGTCCTGCTTCTTCCGGCTTCCAGCGGCTCTAGGCCTTCCCAGGCTACAGTTCTGTGGGGGCTCACGTTGCGACTGAGGTGGGGTGGCTGCGCCCTGCCTCTGCACCTGTCCCCAGACACCCACGGCAGGTGGTGCTGCAGGCCTCCCCGGCTCCCTGCCCACAGAGCGCCTGCTTGTCACTCGGTGAGGTCAAGGTTGCACGTACAAGAAGGATGATGGTGGTGGTGATGGCCATTTAAGGCAGTGACCCATCCTGTGCCCGCTTCCACCTGACGCTGGTGTCCACAGACGAGCGCTCCCACAGCTCCCAGAGCCCCGACACGACTCTTCTTCTCTGCAGAACTGCTGATCACCCACCTGCCACCCTGAAATGCAATTTGTACAGAAAAGGCCGGGAGATGCCTTGTTATTTATTGTCAGGGTGAGATTTCATGGCCGAGGGGCCGGCGCTATGGCACCGGTTCTAGTCCCGGCTGCTCCTCTTCCCATCCAGCTCTCTGCTGTGGCCTGGGAAAGCAGGAGAAGATGGCCCAAGTGCTTGGGCCCCTGCACCCAGGTGGCCATCTGGGGAGTGAACCAATGGATGGAGGACCTTTCTCTCTCTCTGCCTCTCTGTAACTCTGCCTTTCAAATAAAGAAATCTTAAAAAAAAAAAAAAAAAAAAAAGATTTCATGGCTGCTGCCCCCCCCACCCCGCAGGTGCCGAATCTGCACTGCAAAGGCTCATGGTGTAAACCCCCCCCAACATTTCAGTGCATTTCACTCGTTCCTAATGCTCCTATGGCCTGTGTTTGGCCCCTTCCGATGGGTCCCCATGTTCTGTTCCCATGTCCTCCACCAGGCTCTGGTGGCCTCCAGGGGCTTCTGGCACGGGGACATCCCAGGACAGGGGTCAGCCATTTCTCCAGTGAGTCCCAGTTCCTGGGAGTGGAGACTGGTGTTGAGACCACGGGCTGGGCCCCCGGGCGTCCATCACCACTGGCTCACGGTCACTTCTAACCTTTACAATCACACTGAGAGGCCCACATGATTTTTTTTTCAAAGATTTATTTTATTTATTTGAAAGACAGAGTTACAGAGAGAGGGAGAGACAGAAAGAGAGAGAGAGATCTTCCATCTACTGGTTCCCTGCCCAAATGGCCACAAAGGCAGGGGGTGAGCCAGAAGGAAGCCAGGAGCCAGGAGCTTCTTCCAGGTCTCCGAGCCAGGTGCAGGAGCCCAAGCACGTGGGCCACCTTCTGCTGCTTTCCCAGGCCATGGCAGGGAACTGGATGGGAAATGGGCAGCCTGGACTTGAGCCAGTTTTCCTTGCTTGCTCCCAAGTCGGAAGCTGGCAGTTATTACTCAAGTCCTGGCTATCCCAGGTGGGTTGTTCCGGATTGTGGTTTGGCTCCCTGGATTGTCGGTGGGGGTAGCTATGTGATTTCCTGCAGGTCTGACCAAGCAGGTGGGCTTCCTGGGTTGGGGACCATGGCTGATGTGTGGGCTTCCTGGGCTGGGGACCGTGGCTGATGGGTGGGCTTCCTGGGTTGGGGACCGTGGCTGATGGGTGGGCTTCCTGGGCTAGTTGCGCATGTGGCCTGTGTATTCAGTCCTGTTTAGAGACTTGAGGACACAAAGCCTTGTGCCTGCGTAGGTCTGGCTCCAGGGGCCACCTCCCCCTGCCCTGAGGCCTCACCCCTGCCCATCTCTGAGATGGAAACAATAATGGTTCAACAAAGCGCCTTGAAGGGTGGGGCACACAGAGAGGCCGGGACAAGGCAAAGCGAACCAGACCAGTGTGAGAGAGGCCAGTGGCAATAAAGGCAGGTTTTATTCAGCACGGTGGGGCTGGAGAGCCAAGGAGCTGGCTGGGAGGGTCTGAGGGTGGAAAATTGCTAAGCGAGATGCCAGGAACCGTGTATGGTGGTGTGGGGGAGGGGTAATCCTTGCCACAGGCCAGCCAGGGGACTCAGCTCTCCAGGGTGGGGGTGCGGAAGTGGGTCAGGATTGAAGATGGAGGGCGGGGGTGTCCACCCAGCAAGGCTCTTGGCTCAGACTGGCCTGGGCGGGCTGAGCGTGATGGGAGGAGCTCGGGCACCTGGCTGCGGCCAGGTCAGGGCGAGAGTCTGTCGCCCTCTCAGGCCCAGTCCGTGGGCGCACTAGGTGTTTGGGGAGGGGGTCATCTCAGGGCCCTGCCTCTCTCACGGTGGTCGGGGGCTGCGAAGGCCACGGTAGGGCAATCAGACAGGCGGCCTGGAGGGAGCCAGGGGTGCCAGCTGGGGGGAGAGGGTGCCTCTGGCCTCCAGCCCCATCCAGGCTTCCTGTCTCCAGGCCGTCGACTCCCTTCTTTGACCTGCTGCAGCACCGGTACCAGCAGCTGTGGGTGCAAGAGCAGAAGGCCACGCAGAAGGCCATCAAGCTGGAGAAAAAGCAGAAGGTAAAGGCGGCCCCCACCCCTGAGCGCCAGCGGGCTGGGCGGCCGGGGAGGGGACGGGCAGGCCTGGCTGGGGCAGCTACTGGGAGACAGAGAGAGAGAGAGAAATGGAAATCGCTTACTCCATGGTTCACTCCTCCGATGTCCACAAGGCCAGGACCAGCCCAGGAGCTGACCCCTGACGGCCTGCTTTCCAAATAAATAAACTTTTTTGGAGGATGGGGCGTGTGAGTAAGATGTGTGGTAGAAGAGAATACTTCAGGGACTGGCGCTGTGGCGTGGGGGGTAAAGCCGCCGCCTGCAGTGCCCGCATCCTATATGGGTGCCAGTTCGAGATCTGGCTGCTCCACTTCTGATCCGGCTCTCTGCTATGGCCTGGGAAAGCAGCAGAAGATGGCCCAAGTCCTTGGGTCGCTGTACCCACATGGGAGACCCGGAAGGAGCTCCTGGCTCCTGGCTTTGGATCAGCACAACTCCAGCCGTTGCGGCCAATTGGGGAATGAACCAGCGGATGGAAGACCTCTCTCTCTCTCTCTCTCTCTCTCTCTCTCTCTGCCTCTGCTTCTCTCTGTCTTTGCCTCTCTGTAACTCTTCCAAGTAAATAAATAAAATCTGCCTGGGGGATCACAGTGTGGGCGTGGCGGCAGCACCCCCCAGGGCTCAGTTCTACACAGAGATGGGGGGGCAGTGCCCTGAAAATGCAGCGTCCAGGGCCCTCCCCAGCTGACCCTGGGGCTGGAGGCCGCAGACCCTGCCTTCGTCTGCTCTGGCTGCCGTCACGGTGACCAGGGCCAGTGGCTCCGGCAGACGCTTGTTCAGCTGAGGCCGCTCCTTGCCCGGCTGGCGGCAGGTGGCGTCCTCACCTGGTAGAGAAAGTTCTCCGGTCTCTGCCACTTCTCACAGGGCACAGGTCCCATAGGATTAAGGCCCCACCCTTATTACTTTAGGTCATCTTGGTCGCCTCCCAGGAGGCCCTGATTCCAGGGGGCGGGCACTGCGGCACAGCAGTTATGATGCCACTGGGGACCCCTGCACCTCGTATCAGAGCACCCGGGCTCGGGTTCCAGCTCTGCTCTCCCTTCCAGCTCCTTGCTCATGGGCACCCTGGGAGGCAGCAGGTGTCGGCTGAAGTCCTTGGGCCCCTGCCACCCATGTGGGAGACCCGGATGGGCTCCTGGCCCCTGGCCCCTGGCCCCCGGCCCCCGGCCCCCGGCCCCTGGCCCCTGGCCCCTGGCCCCTGGCCGAGCCCCAGCTGCTGTGGGTGTTTGGGGAATGAACCAGAGGATGGGAGAGTTTGCTCTCTAATGCTTTAACTTGCAGATGAGTTTTTCACAAAAGATTTTGTTAAAGCCCCTGTCTCGCGATACGGTCACACCGGGGTTGGGGCTGCGGCCCCTGAGTGCGGGGGACACAGCCCGGTCCGCAGCAGACCCTGTGAGCTGCAGGAGTCAGCTGCATGGCTTCCACTGGTTGAGGAACCATGGCTCCCTTGGTGCCTCTGAGATGCCACCTGCAGAGAGCTCAGAGCCCCTGGCCCCGTCCCCAAGAAGGTCTTTTTTATTTTTTATTTATTTATTTATTTTTGACAGGCAGAGTTAGACAGTGAGAGAGAGACAGAGAAAAAGGTCTTCCTTTTTTTTCCGTTGGTTCACCCCTCAAATGGCCACTACGGCCGGAGCTACGCCGATCCGAAGCCAGGAGCCGGGAGCTTCCTCCTGGTCTCCCATGGGGAGCAGGGCCCAAGCACTTGGGCCATCCTCCACTGCCTTCCCCGGCCACAGCAGAGAGCTGGCCTGGAATAGGAGCAACCGGGACAGAATCTGGTGCCCCAACCGGGACTAGAACCTGGGGTGCCGGAGCCGCAGGCGGAGGATTAGTCTAGTGAGCTGCGGCACTGGCCCCCAAGGGGGTCTTTCAATTTCCAAGGGGCAGGCCTTGGTGAGAACCCCCTCCCCAGAGGCAGTAGCAACCCCCCCCCATTCCTGTCACCGAACAGCTCCTGTCTTCAAACCCCAGCGAGTCCCCGGAGCCCCGTGCCAGCTCTGCCTGGTCTCAGGACAGACCAGGAGCTGCTTGGGCGTCCCCTGGCCCCGCCCCTGGCCCCCGAGCTATGACCAGGAGCAGGGCCAGGGTGCAGTGCATGAAGCAGCCTCAGAGGAGGGCTGGACCAGAGGACGGTGACCCTTGAGAGAATCCCAACCGCCTGCCCCTAGGTCCCCGTCCAGGGCCTTTCCCGGCGCCGGGGTGGCTGCCCCACCTTTGCCTGTCCTGGCCCGCAGGTGATCCTGGGGAAGCTGTACGAGACCCGGAGCTGTCAGCTGAGGAAGTACAAGCCGCCCGTGCAGCTGGACGCCCTCTGGCACATGCCCCTCTTCCAGAAGGTAGTGCCCTCTGCCTGCCCCTCCTGTGCGCTCGCTCACCCGGCCCGGGCTTACCTGCTGTCCAGGAAACCTGTGGGCTTCTAGCCGCTGATGGGCATAACCACAACAGCAGCACCTGGGGTCAGCCACCCCTGCTATTTTCTGGAAGCGCCAGGAGCTGAGCCCATGCACGTCCCCTCAGTGGCTTCCCAGCCCCAGCAGGCCCATGGTACAGACAGGATCACGGTGAGCTCTGTGAAGCGGCAGAGCCTTGTGCTGGCAGGAGGGTCCCCCAGGGCGGGCGCTGTGCACGCCGAATCTCGCTCCACAGTGGGCTCGCCGTTGTCAGCATCCTGCGCTGGGGACTTGGGAAGGCTAAGCAGCCCCGTGCCCACTAGTGCCGAACATGCTCCCCACGCCGGGTGGTGGCCCTGGGGAGACAGGAGCATGTGTCCACCTGGGGCCACGCCCACCTTGACTGGACTTGAACCAGGGAACCGGCTGTGTTCTCCCAGGAGCGCACCCCGAACCGAGCCGCGTCCACCAGGCCGTGCCGTCTCAGAGCACCCAGGTGGGGATTTGTCGCTGGCAGCTTTCAACAGGGACAGAACAACGGGCCAGCCTGGACGCGCGGGGCGGAGGAAGGGAAACGGGGCATGGTGGGTGGGAGGCTGTGCTCGCCCGCTCGCCCTGGGCAGAAGGAACCTTTTCAGTCCCGCAGGGGACTCGCGGGGCTGGGGGAAGGCAGCTGCGTGAGGCAGGGCTGCTGCCCGCCGCTGCCGGCTTGCGTTCAGCTGCGGTTTAGACAATGAAGGGGCCGCTGCCTCCCTGAGCCTAATGCACTTGAACAAGCTGCCGGCCTCGCGCGGGAGCAGCCGGCCCCGCCGCTCCTGTCCTGCACCAGCGGCCCACATCAGCACGTGTCAGCGACCATGCGCCCCGCCGCCCGTCAGCCCCGGCCGCTGCGCCTTGCTCACGCTCACTGCAAATGCCGGGGGAGAACCTGCCCGGGCTGGCTCAGGAGGTGGCAGGAGTCACCCCTGCTGCTGCTCCATTGGCTCTGTCCTCTGTCTCTCACAATCTCCCGCCCTCTGAGACACATCTCCCTCCACACCGCTGCGGAGTCCCAGCCCTCGCCTGCGCCGTTCCCCCTTCCTGCTTTCCCCTGATGTTCCTGGACACCCGTGGGGGCACGGGCACCCGGGGGGATGCTGCCCGGGGCCGAGGGACAGGGAGCTGTGGCTCTGTGGACACGAGATGCCCCCCCAGATGCTGTGCCAGCCCCACTCAGTGCTCACATCTCCTAAGAGCCCAAGGATACGGACAAAGAGGGGCGCAGGTGGTCTCCCCCAGCACAGTGGGGAACCCCTCCCCCCAGGTGACACGGATGCTTTCGTGTCGGGGGCTTCTGGCTCGTGCCTGGGTCTCCACAGTGCCTGGCTCAGGGCTGCAACTCAAGGGCAGAAATAAGTGAATGAGTTCCTGTTTTCCAAAGAGGGGATCCGACCAGGTGGGCCAGGGGCTCCTCCAGTCTCTAGATTGTTCCGAAATACCGTCACGGACAGGTAACACTTTACTCAGCACCGAGCTCGCTCCAAGATCTTTGCCTACACGACTTCGTTTCGTGCTCAGAATGTCCCCACCGCACTGCACAGGCGAGAGCAGGGAGGGGCTGCTTCCTCCCCAGCCTCACCCTGCATCTCTCTCTCGCCTCTCCAGGCAAGGTCCAGGCCGGCCCGCCCTGGGAGCTGCAGCTCCAGACCACCCTCTCAGCCGTCCCCTGAGGCCGGGAAACCCGGGGACAGGTGCAGGGCGCTCAGAGCAGGGCACCACCCTACACAGCCCATCAGTGGCCTTAGACCCCAGAGCACTGCTGCCTGGATGTCACGCCCAGTCCCCCTCCCTGCCAGAAACCAGTGTCCACCGAGCCCTTGCGACAGCCCAGGGACTGGACACGTGTGATCTTACAGACACACGTGATCTTGTGCGTGCCATGTCCCCATTCTGCTGACGGGAAAGCTGAGGCTCAGACAGGCGGAGACTCGCCCTGTAAGAAGTGGATCCTGGACCCAGTCCGCGGCTTCCTAAGCCCAGGGACCCCTGGGACCCCCCCCCATCCAGGTCTCCTCCTTTCTCCCCATACAAGGCACTCACTAACTTTGCAATTAATTAATGAACTGGGCAGCTTTTTCAACCTCCCAGTAAAATGTGAGCCCACCCAGGGCCATGCCTGTGGGTCCCCCGCTGCGTCCCCGGAGCCCAACAGGTGCCTGGCCCAGAGTGGGGGGTCGGTAAGCATCTGTGGGCTGAGTGAGCGCCCAGTGTAGGCTGGAGCCGCACCGAAGGCCCCCGCCTTTCCCACTGCGTGCTCAGGCACTCAGGTCCGGCCCTTGGAGCCGGACCAGGCAGCCAGGCGGGCCCTGCCCCTGGCGATGCGCAAAGCTCACCCCTCATCCCCCAGGGGCGGGGGTCTTTGTCTGAGCCTCTTGTAGTTGCTGAGCCGCTGGCCCCACTACGAAGGGGAAAAAGCGCTTCCAAAAAAGTTGGAGCTGTCACGGTGATGGATAACCTAAATGGACTCTGCCCGCTCAGGAACAGATGTCGACGCTGAACTCTGTCAGAAATAATTAAACACCTTTCACACGGAAAAGCAGCAGGCGGGGGCGGCGCTGTGCGGGCCGGGCCACTGATCCCACCGCTCGCCTCTGGGACCCGGCCCAGCCCCACACGGGGCTGAGAGCAGAGCAGGCGGGGCCACATCCTGGCGTGGGCTGCCCGGTGATATCTGTGCCACCAGCAGTTGGTGGCCAGGTCCGGAGGGAGGGAGGGGGAGAAGGAGTGAGCTGGGCCCTGCGGCAGGGACAGCGACATGGCCTAGCACCGGCCCAGCTCTGGCCCAGCCCTCCCGGCCTCAGTTCCCTTGTGGGAAAACAAGGGGTAAGATTCTTTTTTTTTTTAAAGATTTATTTCCACTTTTTTTGGAAAGATTTACAGAGAGAGAGAGACAGAGAAATTTTCCATCCCCTGGCTCGCTCCCCGAATGGCCACAACAGCTGGGGCGAGGCCAAGCCGAAGCCAGGAGCCAGGAGCCAGGACCTCCATCCGGGTCTCTCACGTGGGCAGATCTTCTGCTCCCTTCCCCAGGCGCATTGGCAGGGGGCTGGACCGGAAGTGGAGCCGCTGGTGCCCCGTGTCACAGATCCCCAGCCTGGAGTGAATGGCCACACCCTTCCTCGGGCTCCCACGTCCGGGGACGGGTGTGAAGTCACCACATGCCAGCCCTGAGTGGAAGAATGGCCCCTGGGGACCCTCCTGGCCACTCTTCCATGAAATGGGCTCTGACGCCCACTGGCAGGGCCGCCCGGAGGATTTGGTGAGAAGCAACGTTTACCTGCGCCCCTGACAGGGAGCCGAGCCGTCCAGCGATGACTGAGGATTCATGGGGACCGTTCATCTGCTCGCTCACTCGTTCACGGCTCCCTTCCCCCAGCCAGGCCCTGTGCTGAGTGGGAGGATGGGGCGAGGCAGACTCCGGCTCCTACTGCTGCCGTGGGGCTGCCGTGGCCACTGGCGTGGCGTGCCATGGACGGATGGACAGACAGACAGATGGGTAGGTAGTTGCACAGGTGGACAGCTAGACAGGCAGGTTTGGATTAGTTCCGCCCATGTGTGTGCTGTGGTCACAGCCTCAAGTGGTCAGGAGACAGCACCCCAAGTCGGGAGGCTGGGCATGGTCCCCAAGTGCTAACTAAGCCCATTACACACGAGCCTGCTCTGGGCCCACCCTGCTCACTGACTTTCTGCAGAAGTCGGGGCTCCGCCCAGCAGCCCCTGCAGCTGCCCGAGGGGTGAGGCTGTGAGCAGTGCCCCCCACCCCCTCAGCTCTCAGCAGCAGCCCAGCCTGCGCCACTCTGCCTCTGGTCCCCTAACTGGAAGCCACTGAGAGTGGATGTTCCTGCTTCTGCCCGCATCCTGAGAGGGGCCCCAGCTGGTACCCCCACTGTCCACGGAGGGTGACAGTGCAACACGCGTTCCCCTTTCTCTCATGCTCTTCCCTGCCTTGTTTGAATTTCCCCATTGCCCGCCCAACTTTTACAGAACAAGTAGGGCCTGTTTGAAAAACTGTGCTTTTTTTCTTCTTCTTTAAGTTTTATTTATTTATTTGAAAGACAGAGTTAGAGAGGGAGGGAGGGAGTGCGGGAAGAGAGAGAGAGAGAGAGAGATCTTCCATCTGCTGGTTTATCCCACAAATGGCTGCAACAAGACAGGGCTGGGCCAGGCTGAAGTCAGGAGGTAGGAGCTCCATCTGGGTCTCCCATGGGTGCAGGGGTCCAAGCACTTGGGCCATCCTCTGCTGCTTTCCCAGGCGCATTAGCAGGCAGCCGGGTGGGAAGTGGAGCAGCCAGGACTCCAACCAGTGCTCACATGGGACGCCGGCCTCGCAGGCAGCGGCATAGCCCACTGCACACAGCGCCAGCTGCGGTTTGTAAAGGACGGAGACTGGCTTTTCCCGCAGTGTGCAGCCCCCTCTTCGAGCCTCACTCTTCCCGATGGCTTGGGAAACACTCCCGAGCTGCTGGCCCCGGCTGCTTCCCCACATACGGTTCCCATCCAGCAGCCAATGCTGGTGCCGTGCTGGGGCAGTGAGGGCTACCGGCTTCTAGAATCTTCTCTCTATGGCCGTAGACCCAACGCCCATTTCCGAAGGGGGTTGCCGGGGCTTCTGGCAGCCTCCCCTCGCCCCCGCACACTCGGCCTCTCCCCGAGTCGTGCCCAGCCCTGCCGACATTACATAGTCGTTCAGTCACTAACGTATGAACAAATGAATATATTTTCATCTGGCTTTGGGTTTCAGCCCCACTGCTTTAGAATAATGGCCCAAGCTATTAAGCTAACGGTTTGATTTACAAGCTCTTGCGCTCCGAGCGCGGGGATCAGGGGATCAGATCCCTGTCTTTGTGGAAGACTAACCCTGCCTCGGGTCTCCTGGGCCCCCGGCTCCCTAACAGGAACAGAAGACG